CTGACCACCTCCTCACAATGTCCAGGGCGGTGTCGGTGCCGGCGAGACTCAGGACCGTCAGGACGTTAGGGCGGCTCAGGAAACTGTAGAGGCCCTGGTGGCAGGACGGGATGGCAGAGAGGAAAGGAGCCAGGGATCGCCTCGCCCAGAGCGTTCCGACACCCCACTACCCGCAGCGCCCCCAGTCACTGCCCCTAAAAGACAGCCACTCACCCCGTTGTCCTCCGAGGCCCCCAGTGCCCCGGGGTTTCCCGAAAGATCCAGGTGGGTCAGGGCCGAGTCAAAGGCGGCATTGGAAGCCAGTGCCCGGCCTAGAGCTTTCATTCCTGGTGGTGGAGGAGCGGGTGGCTCAGGCCCACCCACACTTGCTCCACCAGCCCTACCCCCTCCCTGGCTCCACCTACCTCGAGGTGTCAACCCCGTCTGTGCTAGGCTGAGTCTCCTCAGGGCTCCAGGACGATGCTCTAGGTATCTGCTGAGTGCAACCACGCCTGGGGGTAGGGGCAAACCTTGTGGGTCCCCCCTTCTCCGGCTCGCACCCCAGGCCCTTCCCAGGCTCAGCCATACCTCGGTCATCCAGCAGGTTCCCCGCCAGGCTGAGTTCCCGGAGCCCGGAGCTCGGGTGGCCTGCCAGCGTCTGGGCCAGTCGCCGGACAAAGTCTCTGGGGACCAGACCCCAGGCTTGACACTCTGACTCTGGATTCCCAACTCCTCCCAATCCCAACTGCCCGGACTCCCCTCCTCAAGCCCTTCCTGTCTCCCTTACCCCCTCAGGCCACAGGTCTCCAGCACCAGCTCCTCCAGGTGGGCCGACTGACTCATCATGTGCAGAATCTGTTCCAAGACCTCAAGGCTCTGGGAACCAGAGGGGAGGCTCAGTGGGCTGCACCCTGGTCCCCACACCCTCGCCCCCTCCTTGCTCCTACGCTCGCACCAGCTTCACATCCACACAGGAGAGACACCGGAACCACAGGTTGTAGGACAGGGCAGCCACACTCAGTGCCAGGTCCCTGGGTGGGAGAAGGGGCAGGGGCAGGGCTCAGGGTCCTCCAGCCAGATCGCAAGCCCGGCATCCCGCTCCATGGAGAGGCTCAGGAAAGTGGGTCATGGCATCCTCCTCCCTTCCCAGTCCTGGCAGGCCACACACCGACTGCCCAGGTGGCTGAAGTCCCCGAGGCTGAAATGGCGGCAGCCCTGACGATGGTAGATGGTGTCCACGTCCTGGAGGAAGAAAGTGTCTCCAGCTGGCTTGGGGCCACCAGGAGCAGGGAGGGACTCAATGCACATGGGGAGGAGATGTCTCCAGAGCCCCCCAGAGAGGGCCCTACCCTCACCCACTGAATCTCCTCTCGGAAAGGGAAGCCATTGTAGTCACACAGAGCCTCGTACGTCTCCAAGAAGCCACCTGGGGAGGTGCCAGGGGTATGACAGGGTCAGGTGAGGGGAGGAGAGAGACAAAAGATGGTGAAGATCAGACCCAAGCTGGGAGGTGGCTGTACCTCAAGTGGCTCTGTTCAGTTTGGGAGACCTCCAAACCTGGGGGGCTGGGGCTGCAGGAAGGGGTGGGCTGGAAGCCCCCCCGTGGCCCTTACCACAGGGGCTGCTGGGTGCGGTAGCCTCTGAGGGGCTGCTTCTCTCCAGGCGAACCAGCATGGAGGGGGGCGTGGGCTTCCGGAACAGCTTCCTGAGGAGGGGGAGACAGGAGAAGGGAAAGGCGCTTCCAGCCTCCGGGGTGTGAAGCTGCCCACTGTCTCCAGAGCATCCCCCTGCCAACCCCCTTCCCTGCCAACTCCCTTCCCTGCCAGTCCCCTGCAGGTGCTGGGCCTCACCCCAGGGTGGAGTGAGGGAAGACCTTCTGGATGGCCGCAGCGACGTGCTGGGTCAACTGTTCCAGGGCAGCCACGCCAGGGAACTCCAGGACCAGCTCAGGCAGGGACTCCAGCTCAAAAGTGACCTGGGGAGAGCAGGTGGGGGGCTGGGCTGGCTGGGCTCCATGTGTGTGGGAGGGAAAGGGCAGGGGGAGGGGAAGGCAGACCCTGGCAGGTGGGTACTAAGGTTTTCACCTGAGGGGGTGTCTCCTGCAGTGCCATGGCCTGGACCTCCAGGTAGCTGAATGTGCAGTCCACCTGTGGAGGACCTGGGTCAGCCGGGACCAAGGCCGGAGCCCCACCCTCCTGGGAGCCCAGTCCTTTGTGCAGCCTGGAGCTCAGAGCCTGATGGGCCTACACTCCAGTCCAGCCTGCTGCCTGAGCCCAGTGCGGTTGGAAGGGCAGAGCCCACAGGACAAGACGAACAGTGCTGCAGCCGTCTTGTCAAGGAAGCTGCTGGAGGGCAGGGTGGGTGGTGGCCGGCCCTGGACGGACTCACCCTTAATGGGAGGCAGGTGTGCAGGAGGTAGGCTCTCCATCGCAGCAGCGCCTGGGGGGAGAGAGTGCCTGACACCCTGTTCAGGGCAAAGGCTCTTTCTGCTTGGGCCACGGCACCCTCCCAGTCTGACCCCCTGCCATACCAGGACGTGGCCTTGCTCAGCACCCTCCCGCTCTGGTAGCCAGGTTTTCAGCAGCAGGTCTGCCTCCTTGGGCCACAGGAACCTGGTGATCTCGCCTGCGGGAGGGCAACCTGCTGGATGAGTCTAGTCCTCCCGTGGAGGTCAATACATGCCCATGGTCTATACCACATCTATGAGCCAGCAAGGAAGGGGTGGAGTGGATCTTGGGGTAGCAAGCCCTCCGAAGGAGCAGAGAGAAGCGCTTGCCCAGCATCCCCAGGGCTCTGGGTCGGCCTGGTTTTGGGGCCCGCACTCCTTCCTCCCAGACAAGTAGGCAAAGACGGGCAGGCGCTTACCTCTCAGCTCACAGGATATGCCGTCGGGGGTCTGAGCCATGGGGCCGGGCCAGGCGGCGGGGGCGGCCCAAGGAGCTCCGAGGAGAAACTGCAGCTGCCAGGCGCGCACAGGAAGCCTGGGGCCCCGGGCCGCACTGCAGCCACCTGCTCCTCTTGCAGCGGAAGGTACGCGCTGCTT